ATTACCTGCTTTGCGCTTTTGCCTTTATCTCTATGGATAATCTGCACTCGCACATGAGTCTTAGACACGGTGATGGGCCAACACGGGAGGGCCGCAGAAGAATGGTGCTCCTAGTTAAGCCTGCAACTTTTTACCAAGAAGTAAGAGAATTCAGGAGCACAGTATAACACACACAACAACGACAGTATACAAGTACTTTCAGCTGGAAAATTGGACTGTGGAATGATGGAGCACGTGGGCAGCGGGATGTGGGATTTGTCTTCTTCCAGGGGGAAGTGACAAAAGTTGACTCCAAAGGTTTGAGAGAGTTTAATCTTGGAAAAACTCAACAAAAACTTGAGTGTTTGTATGTAGGGTTTTTTTGTGTGTGTGTGTTTGTCATCAAAGACTTATTCCATAGAGACCAAAAACTGTATAATGTTTGAAAGAACTGTTGAAATAGCCGTGTTATCCTTGATTAAAGATTGCTATCTTTAAAGGCACGCGCAACCATAAATACACAAACATGCTTTATTCCCTCCAGGCCTTGTGATAGTGTTGTTTACTGACTGTCATCTGATTGTAAATTGTTAGGCACGTACAAAAATGAACTGACACATAAACATACAACATTTTCTGGACGATTTAACCTTTGGATAAAGTGCCAAGGCTCCACTGACCTGCAGCTAAACGTTTGTCTTAGGGATGAAAGTAATTTCAGTCTGATGGCCCCCTCCTGTGGCTTGAAGTGGTAATTGCACACAATATTGGCTGCAGAAAAGAAAGCAAGCTTTGTTTCACGTGATTAAATGTGTGAGGCGGCAGGCTTTATTTCCGCCAATTTGTGGGAAACCATAAGTTTCACAGTTTCTAATAGATTTAAACAAGTTCTGAAGGAAGTTATGCCTGTGTAAAAGTGTCCAGATGCAGTGTGAAGTGTGACAAATAGGGTATCAAATAAAATGTTTTCAAAAAGACAGACATACTATTGAGAGTGCAACAGCTGATCATCTTCACGACTGATTAATCTCCTCTTTTCTCAGATTATAGATGATTATTTTTATTTGCTGGAAGATCCAAAAATGATGTCTCAAAAAATCCTTTTTTCTCTTTCCTCTCCAGTGCGCAACCTACTGTTATTTAGCACAAAGTAACTGGATTCCCACCGAAAGCACACACGATGTTTGTCGTTTTTCATCAAAAAATCAACCGAAACGAGTGTTTTATTTTCCAAATGATTTAAGCCAGTTCATTCTGAAGGAATCAACTACTTAATCTTAAAAAAGAAAACAAAAAACTGCACCATATTTCATGGAAACAGATGAATATTGTGATGCAGATTATATGAAACAACTACAAAAAAAGCATGGTAGTGGGCTTCAATGCTCCAGAGGTCCAGCAGCCCACCACTAGAGGGCTGTTGCTGGGCCTGGGCCAGGTCTGGAAGCCCAGCAACAGCCCTCTAGTGGTGGGCTGCTGCTGGGCTTCCAGGCCTGGCCTACTTCTGCCCCTGGAGGTCTGAAGTTGCTCAGCAGCTAACCTGAGAGGACACTTTATACTGTGTGACTCACATTTTCCTTCCCTAGTAGTCTATTATCACATGAGTTAATCACTTTACTCCCTGTCCCGTGTTCCCTGTGTGCCTGCGGTTTGTTTGTGGTTGCCTTTATCAGTCGTGATTTCTTAATATGCAGTTTTTGCCAGAAGGAGCAAAGCACGAACATTGAGTATGACTTTTATCTGTGTAGGTGTTGCGTAGGTGTCGTATCGGGGCGGCCAACGCTGATGATTAATGTCTTTCTCACACACCAGCCTTTCAACCTCCCGTAACTCTTAACAGTATTATTGTTAATATGATGCAATAACACCTGGTTACAAAGAAGACAACCAACAGATAAGTAATGACGTCTCTTTAGGTAGAAATTTTTGAAAAGTGGGCGGATCTTCCCGTAAGTTGCAGGTGTAAATATATTCTTGCTGTGATTGAGTTTCATCAGGTGTAAATCTGACACTTGTGTGTGGAAGATACCAACACCTCCAGGAGGAACTTTATACAGAACATACAGTATATAACACACGCATGCACATAGAAGTCGAGCATGCTTTCCTTTACTTACATTACTGTCCTGTGGATGTACCATAATGTAAAGCAGATTTCCCAAACACTGAATGTGACTGCAGTCCAACCAAATTGGGGAAACAAATGCCTTCCAGAAATACGACTTTAATCAGCTGGTGTCAAACCGTACAGTTTAGAATTTGTTGCCCAAAAGTGGTCTTTTACAAACAAACACACACATGCGCAAAGGCACCAACTGTCCCAGTAAATGTGGGGTGCTCTGGTGTAATAAAAGCCTTCCTCTGTGGTGGAGCTGAACCCCTGTGTTTAACTGCCTGTGTGAATGTGTTACCGCTGAGAAGCACACGCTGTGAAACTGCCCATACTGGGATTTGAAACTTGGCAGAAACACTCAGTGAGGCTTTTATGAGATAGTTGTGCACTGCTGGATGCAGTAAATGGTACTTTTTTCCAGCTCGGCTTCTTTATCTGCTGTATTTACCTTTTGTTTGGTGAGTGTGTATCAATGTCAGGTATACCCAGCCACTAATGTCTGATTGGGTTACCTGACAAACAGGTTGGCCCTCATGTCCCAGCTTTATGTCTGTGGGACACAAGCAGTGGCGGCGTGTGTTTATATTTAAAATCTATACATTTAAAATCTTATCAGAGTACACAGTTATGTCCATTCAGTCTCTTTCTTTTTGTTCCTTTTCCCACCTGGTCAGCTCTAGCTTGTCTTTTTGATGCAGGAATGTGTGAATCCAGTCAATACTCTGATAAGATTTAGAGTAATTTAGCTTTAATTGCCCTGTACTTCTTCACTGTCTGGATTTTTGTTTGCTTTTCCTCTTGTCCTCTCTTGTCACGTCTGATAGGAGTGTCCCAACATGACATTAGTGACCCATGGTTTCCTGTTTAAACACCAGTGTGTTTAGAGTCGGCATCGTTTTCAAAGCTAATCACTGACACACGGCTCTGATGGTATAATCGTGTTTACATTCTGAGGTAACGTGACACTCTTTTTGGAGCCTGTAATGTCTCTGATGAAAGATTAAAGCCTGCTTAAAATGTGTTTTGTATTTAATGCCAACAACAGGGAAGAAAATGGTCTGTATTTGATTTATAGTTAAGCAAAAATATGTTTTCACATCCAGTTTCTATTTAACTATAATGACCTTGATCATAGCTGGGAAAAAAACATCTTCTCTATGTTGCTCTATTCAAATTTAATTGTGTACATTATCAAGGTTTTAATGGATTAGACACGTGAAAGCTGTGCTTCTGCTTCTAAGCAGTCAGAGATGTTTACGCTCTTCTTTTGGTGACACGCCACCAAGCTGAAGATGCTGAATGTCCACTTGTCTATAATCTGTAGTTTAATATACTGATTAGCTTCAGTGCTTTAGCTCCTTCATGTGCACTTCATTAAATATAAATGAGGAGGAGGAGGGGGGGTGAATCACAATGACCTGACCTGTGATGAAATTTTGACTCCATTTATGGGTCATGTTATTAAGCTTCACTTCCTCAAAAAAGAAAATAAATTAATCCTGAATGCAGCCAGATGCTCTGTGTTTGAGTTGTCCGTTAATCGCGTTCTTGTGACCGTAATGTCTCTTGACAACCTTAAAGAAATTCCTTCAAATTTGCCACCAAAGTTTAGATTTTGGTGGTGAAATGTTCACTTGCTGTGACCACATGTTGGTTTCTTTTCTTGTGATTTCTTAGGGAAGGAAAGAAAAAATCTTTTTACACGTCGGGCTGAAACTTTTACTTCAACTTAAGGATTGAGTGATTATAATTTGCTGCTGTTTTACAGGTCAAGGTCACAAAGCACCAGGTTATTAGTTATGTCCTTATCCCCCTACATCATTCCCTCTGCTGTAATAAAACCTACTTTGTTGTCCCACTTTATTGACATGTCTTACTGATCGCTGCTGCACAGTAGAGTAATGCTGGTTAAATATTAAAGGGTTTATGGCTTTATGTCTCACCACTGTGACCGAAGGTCTTCAAAAATATATCTGTAGTGTGTACTTGATTGCCTATATTTGTATATTCCAAGCTAGGCTTGGAAATGAGCACCTGGCTTTGTGCACAAACAAGTGCCGACGTAGTAGATTTTCTCTCTAAGGGGGACCTCAAATGAGGTTGGGGACCTGAGAGAGCAATAAGGGTTTAAGTCTAAGCTTACACCACATCGCAATCACAGATCTGGAATCGCCTTTCAGTAGCGTAATGGATGACGATCTGACGATCCCCTAATTTACCACCTTTTCTGGGGTAAACAAGAAGGTGAGAATGGTTGATGAGGTTTCTCAGCCAGGCCTACGTGTGTTTGTGTACTCACTCATTCAGTTTTTTGTCACACCTTAGTGGTATTGTGCTCCCTATGCTTTTACACTCAGGTGGGAAGGCTCCACCCCCCTACATACATGTTTTTATCCCTGAGGGCCTTTGTGTTCCTCACACACTGCATGTTTCCCAACAGTAGTTAAGGGTTAGTACTGCTGAGGCTGGGGTTAAAGCTGTTTTGTGTTCAAAATGAAAGAACCTGTGGGATATTGATTACAGGGAATGTAAATAGAAGCGTATGTGGGGTGGAAAAAAGGTGTTTAGGAGGTAGGAAAGGACATAAGGAGGGTGTGATGAGTGGTTGCCATACCAGTAAATGAATGGCGGGGCGGAGCAGCGATCAGGGAGCGCAGAAAACAGAAAGAAGAGAGGCAGGGAATAAGGAAGAAGGGACGGGCTGACTCGTATTTCAGCTTCATGTGTGAAGGGTTGGGTGTAACCTTAACCCTATACTCACAGCACAACTCTAGTTGTGTCAACTCTAGTAGTCACGCACTTGCACGACTCCAGGAGTCACGAAGAGCGGAGTCTGGACAATCCTCACCAGCATACCCTTTCTTTTTAACTCACCTGGGTGCGATAAGCAGGTGTGGGCTTGCCTTCCCAATTCTTGCTTTATCACTGGTGTAGATCAGCTGATTGGAGAGCCAGAGCTTTGTCAACACTGGGACCTTCTATCACAGCCTTTGCTTAGCACGCCTTTTCTTCAACCACTAGTGACGGTAATATTTGCGGAAAAGGGATCAAAACAGGACTGAGAGGAAAACAAATGAGGATTCGCAAGAAGTTGGTTGTAAATTCTCTGGAAAAACTCGACAGGCATCCTCATTTCTGCTGCACACCCAGCAAAGGGAGTATCACATGTGAGTGTGCCTATGCCAGCGCGTGAGCATGCAAGTAACTTCATCAGGACGGCAACAAACCCGAGAACCTCTTAACCCCTTGGTCAGGCCCTGGCTCTAAGATGGTGCGACTCAGGTGGCGCGTGCTAACAACTGGAGATAACAACACTCAGGGGCACACATGGTCTTAAACAACAACCACTGATTTGCTGAGACTGAAAAGAATCGTAGGGTAATTTGTAAACCTCTCTCCACCCTGTCATGCACCACTGAGGAACATAACAGAAAAAGGGGACTGTGCACAGAGAAGTGTGCGCCGCAGAAGGGCGGTGATTTTCCTGATTGCTGGATTGCTTAATTACCCCTTTGGGTTTGGGAATCACGCCTGGAGTTTTAAGGCACAAAGGAGGACAAGAAAGGAGAAGATGATTTAAGTTTTTGCGGCAGAGAGATGAAGTGAAGGAGGAGGCTGTGTGGGTCAGAGTCATGATGTGGAAGTGCGCTAAGCAAATGGAAAGCAAAGCGGGATATGGCTGAATGTCCTGCTGGAACTAATTCAGTGCTTATTGTTGAATCTGAAGAGTCTGAAACAGTTTAGTAAGTGTGAATATCTGGACAACCCACCGACCTAAGGATTTACGGCTGGGGATTTATTTATTTTTTGCTCAGTTTTTAAAGAAGACCTCTCTGAGGGACAATGAGAGGAGACAGGAGATCCGCATCATTCCGAAAGGAGAAACCGGCGGGCCTTTCCCGGGCTCTCAGCTGGCTCAACGTGTCCAACCTCTCCCGCCAGAGCAGACGCGTCTTCCAGAGCCAAAACGAGCTCAACGTGGTTCACAGCCGCCACCCGTACTCTCAGTCTCACAGTCACCTTCACACCTCAGACGGAGACGAGGGTGAGGACGACGATAACTGGGTGTACCGGCCTCAACACAAAATAGGTGAGAGTGGGGAAACAAAAAGAAAAGCAGTGATTATTTTATTTTTATACTGGACA